AGTATAGTTAGTAGTTTTGAAACAAGTACAATCCTAGATATACCAACTGGAACAAAAAATCATTCAGTCACTCCTGCAGTACATAGGCCTAAATTGCAACTATCTAAAGCGTTGCCCGGCTGGCATCAGTTCTTACATGCAGGTTTTAAAAACGTCCTTAACATCTAATGGTTGGCAGATGAGAATTACCTTAAAGACGTTACCCCAGGTCATATGTAATCTCATTACATACAGCTGTTACCCCTGGCTCGTCAGTCAAAAGTATTTAATGCATTAAATCACTTTAAAACGTGCAATTATTTTCAGGCTAATCCTCCCATTTGAAGCATGTTTAAGAAAGAAAATACAATGTTTAAAAATTTCCGAGTTATCTTGGTCTCTTAAACATGTAAGCCTAACTAAGCCACAAGTAAACAACATAGGCGAGCGGACTGAATGTTATAATTCACAAAGGGATGATTTTGTAAAAACAATACGTGTCTCCTAAAGGTAGCCTGTCATTATATTGTGCGCCCTACATTACTGATCAGTCTTCCTTAGCATGTATTGCTTTCCAACTACAACTAAACATGCAAACGTGTTTTTTAGAGTTTAGTATTTGAGACTTCACTAGCCAGCCATTCCCAAATGCAAGTTTATATAATTTTTGGGATCAGTTATCTTTTGTTTAATCTGTACTTCCGAGCAAGGTTTTTTCAATAATTCATGGTAAGACGATCGCTGTTGTTTCCAGTGATGTTTTTTCGCTTACATACATGCAATTATAGCATGTTCCATTCAAGTGACCAACCTGGGCTGTAGCTGGTGTTCGACAACGAACGTAGATAGTGAGGTCGGCTTTCTATGAACAATCTGACGCTGATTCCGCGAGGGGAAGAAGGATACAGACCCAATTATAATGTACAGTGAATGCACTATCTCGTGAAATAAGTTAGAAAACGTAATGAAAGTCATGTTGCGGTAGGTCAGCACACGCGGCGTGCCCCGAATTATTATAAAAGTATAGTTAGAACTATAAGTAAAAACGTGTCAGAATTTGGTTGAGAAATTACTATTAACAAGCATAGAAAAATGTAGTTATCACAAAAATCTGCAAAATCAAGAAATGGCAATATGAAAATTTACTGGACCAGTGTGAACTGAAAGTGTGTTTAAGGCATGGGAGTGGAAAAGGATGGCAAGGTAATGCAGAATAAGTACAAATACAAAATTTTTAAAAACTAAATATTTTCCAATAACATTTAAACTTGGACTAAATGTGTCAGAAATGGATGAAGTCACTTTAAGTACAGTTGCTTCCAAATTTATAATCTTCGGACACATTTCCGTTCTTAATGCACAAAAAGATTCTTGCGTAGTTTGTATCAATTTCTATTGGCACATTTTTAAAAATTATTTCGAGAGTTCGAGTGCTTTTGTTTGTCCATAAATACCGACTTCGTTAAACCTACTTACCGAAAACTTAGAAATAAGAAGTATTTTAAAAGCATTAACCTATATAATGAGCTCTTTAAGATTCCTCCTTAGATAGCTGTCTGTGTGGTCATGACCTTAGAATCGCCCAAACATGTTAAATCACTGCCGAGAAAAATGCATTTCTACAACAAAAGCCGAGAATGAATACGACTAAGATTGATTTAAACACGTCTTAGAACACGTATCCTCCTCAAAAAGCGCTTTAGTTAGATATTTTGAAGTCGAATATCTGTGTACGATACGTTTTTTGAAGTTAAAGTCAAGATCAAAATGGGATATTTTGACCAGTTTTTGGCTTCCCTAAAACTAAGAGGAAAAAACTGTGCTGCAAATGAAAGAACTTACATTTCTACGTAAACCAGAGCTGTTTTTAATACGTTCATCTACTTCAGGGCACTGTTCTTTTATTTTAATTGGACAACAGAGTGACCCAAAATATCCTCCAATATTCTCAAATATAGTAATCTTCTACTTCTTCCGTTTGGAGTTTTGATATTTATTGATTTTTCTCTATATTTTGACAACATTTG